CGTCGGCGCCGACGAGAGCCCGATGCCCGTGCGACAGGGGGCGCAGCTCGCGGAGCCCTCCAATATCGTCAAAAACAAGTTCAACGACATCTCGCCCATGGTCCACCGTGCCAGCGGCCACCTCTCCGTCGACAACGCCGCGCCCGTCGCCCGCCCGCGCGTCGGCGCGGGGCCCCGCGGGTGCAGCGCAGGCGCAATTGTCAGATGCGGCTGCTGCTGCCGGCGTCGCCCCCGCCGCTCAGCAAGAGCTCGCGGGCGAGTTCGCTGCCGCATTCGCAAGACCGCGGGCTGCAGCGTCGTGGCTTGACAGCGCGTGGGCGCCGTGGCGCGACGGGAACAGCGCGGGCGGCGCTAGCTTGGTCTCCTGGAGCTCCCAGGCCATCTGCAGCATCTCCTCCTCTCGTCGCGATACCTGGCGTCGCCGGCTGGCCGACTGCCTGTGCTGGCGCGGCTTGATCCTGCCCAGGGATGCCCGCGGCAACGGCGACGCGCTTAACCTGATGGCTAACAGCACGACGAACAAATCTGCTGTGTTCCATGCGGGCATCGATAACAGCCAGTCCGTGGGTGGCGCGGCATCCCCGCCCCCCGCCAGCGCCGACCATTACGATCTCCGACCGGACGCAAACCCCAAGCATGACTTCAGCATGGTCGCGTCAGGACGCACCGCTATGGCCAGGATCACCGACAGCGCGAATCGATATCGCAGCACGACGTTCAACGCGCGCAGTCACGACCGATCTCCGGCCAACAAGCATGACTTCAAGGCGGCGTGGCAGGCCCCGTTCCACTTGTTTCGTTCAGACCCCGCGCAGCGCGCATTGCCTATGATGGGGGGCTCCAACCTCTCCGATCATCCCCGGCGCGGCGCGACGCCCCATGCGCCTCGCCCCCCGCGGCGTCAGCCGCCGCCGCCGCAGTTTTGGCGCGACATCTTGACTGTCGTTACCGAGGTGGCAACTCGAGCGACCATTCGTCGGATATGCTCGAATAGTAGCGTGGCGACCATCGACCGCGCGTTCATCTTCTTGGACGTGCATAACATCCCGCGCACGGAGACCGTGCTCGCCGCGAACGACAAGCTCCTCGCGAGCACAGCGGCCACCTGCTGATGGAGCGACCCCGCCCGTGATCTTCAAGAGTGTTTTCCACCGGCGCTGCGTCGCCATGCTCGACGACCTGACTGGCTTCTCCTGACTCGACGCAGCGGCCAAATTGTGCGCGCCCAAGGACAGCGTGCGCGCAGCTTTCCAGCGCGCGCGAATGGCCCCGCTGGAGCCCTGCCCTGACGCCCTGAATGCAAGCCGCGGGGGCGTCGCCAAGGAGGCGCACTCCGCGGCCGTGCCGTGCGTCGCGAGAGCTGTTTGGCATCGCGACGCTTCGTTTGCTAGCTTGCTCATCGAGGGCGCGAGCTTGGGCGCCGAGCGCCTGCAGATCCATGGCGACGCGCTGCGTGCGAGCTCCACCTCGAGGATTTGCCTCTGCGACCTCCCGAACTTCAGCGCCGAAGCTGCCGCGGCGCACGCTGGCGCGGCTGACGAGCGACGAGCGCGAGCAGCTGCTCAAGCGCGACAAGCACATGCTGCGCGTCGCCCTCGTGATGGCGATCGCTGGCGACGGCGGGCCTCCCGCGCGCGACGGCGCGGAGATCCTCCGCGGCGTGGAGAGCACCGCCGGTGGCAATTCCCGCGTCGAGACGGACCCGACGAGCGCTCGCAGCCCCTTCCAAGCGCATTGGGCCCCGATGTTCGCGGTGAAGAAGATCAGCGAGCAGGGCGCGATGCTACGCCTGGACAGGTTCCCCCGTGCAGGCGATCATGTCATTGCCATCCCCGACGGGCGCGACCGCGAAGCTGCGGCCTGCCGCGCAGACTCCGCTCCTTGCCCTGACCAGCTACCTTATCGCGCGTGGTTGGCGACGCCTCTCAGCCTTTCTATCTGGGCGGAGCTCGCGCCCAACCTGGCGCGCGGTGGTCCAGCGCCTCGCGATGTTGACTTCTCGCTGGTGGCGATGCCCCCGAAAGGAGAAGAACCCGGCGACTGGCGCGCTGTTCTACGTGATCAGGGTGCGCTACGCCCGCTGTCAATGACAATTAGCGACGTCAAGATCATCGCATCTGCCCGCCACAGGAAGCACCGCCCCATCGCCCGCTCCACCACCGACGCGCAGCGTGGACGTGTTTCTGGACGGCAGCTCCTCACTGACATAGCCAACGCCCACGCGGACTGCCGCACTTGCAGCATCGTCCCCGGCGCTGCAGAGTTGCTGCCTTGCTTCCTGAGCGTGGACATGGCAGCGGCGATCCCTTGTCTATGCCTGCGTGGCTTTCGGAAGTGCTCCGACGCTGGGGCATCCATGGCTTGTTCATGCCACTACTTCGCCCGTTACCACACCCAGCTCACCCGCCTGCTGCTGGAAACCGTGCTTCGCTTATTCTTCTTCGCTGATAGCGGAGTTGCACATGGGGTGTCCTTGTAGCGGGTCTGTTTGGGCGCTCGCGTTTGGGCCGATTCCTCTGAGCATCGACGCCGCGCTCAAGTCTACCCCCACGGGGACAACAAGTCGGGTCTCCACCCGCACCGCGGCGGTAGCACTACCAACGCGCGCGATGATGACATCGGCTGGGCAATCCGAGCCCTACGTGATCTGCTTCACGTGCGACCTCGCAAGCGCGCTGCTGCCGGCTTCGCAGGCCTACGCCTTCAGCCCAAGAAGTGCGTCCTGGCACCCTTGTGGGCCGCCCTCAACGAACGCCTGATCGACGACTTCCTCGACGCGCTGATCACTGTCGATTCGTGGTTGGCTACTTTCATTGCCAGCGGCGCGGTCAAGTACTTGGGCGCGCACGTCGGCCCCGCGGCATCGTTCGCGCGTTAATGGCGTGCGCCTGCGTCCCAGTGGAGGCCCCGATTCAAGATGCTGGCGGCTTCTGACATCCCGCTACAGCTCTGCTGCAGCTCTACAGCGCCCCGACCGCCCCGACCTTTCTTACGTCGGCCGGCTCTCCCCCCCGATCGCGATGTTCCCCGCTAAGGAGATCCGCGCGCTCCACAAGCTGATGCGCGCCGCCCCGTCTGCATTCGCGAAGATGGGTATCTTGGCTATGCGAACCTGGAGATGCGCAGAAATCCAAGCGGGGCACGCAGTCGTGCTCGCGGCGACCACGTGGAGGGCAGCCATCTACATTGTTCTTAGTTGGGCGTCGGCATTTCGCTCGCTGCAGCGCGCTGCTGAATAATGCTTATCCCTTGTCAAGGCCATGGACGGGCAATGGCGCGCCGATTGCTGAGCTGACCCTCCATCTATCGGCCAGCGCCCCCAGTCTGAGATCGACGGCAAGTCCCATCCCGCGGGCAAGCGCCCCCTCTACACGCGCTACCGCCGACGGGGGGATCGACCGACGCGCGCCCCGAGACCTCGCGATTGCCCACCGCGGAGCCAGCGTGCAGGGCAAGGCAGCAGCCTCTGGACAAGTGGGCAAATCATCCTGGCCAAACAACCGTAGAGGCAACAAGTCTGATCTCCACTCGCGGCGCGATTGCGATCGACAGCCCCGGCGCTAGCCGAAAACGCCGCGGGCTGCATGCGCGTCCGAGCTCCAGCGCGGCCTCTATGCCGACCCCTTCGGCGCCACCATCCTGGGGCAAGCATGGCTCCCGACGGCTGGGCGCGCCGCCCATATCCCCGACCCCCCATCTCTGGCTCCGCGCGCCCCCGCGCCTGACCGCGCCTCCGACGACTCCCGTCGAGCTCTTCCATAGCTTCGTACTGTGAAGGAGGGTCTGGTCTACTGGGCCGGCGACTGGACCCCTGACGTGCGTTTGAATGGCCAGCTGCCGGGCGGATGCCGCGACTGGACGGCGCGGCGCGGAAGATGCATATATCGAGTGCTCAAACAACCATCATATAGCGTATGCTGTACAATGGTGGGGCGATCTTTTAATACGGATACATGGCTCGCTGCGCTTGTCGCGGCGCTTTGCACGGCGGCGACGGCGCCAGGCAACGTCGGGCCCAGCTCTTTCAACAGCCGGATACCGACAGACTCTCGTCAACTGTTGGAAGACGCCTGCCCGGCGCCAGCTGGTCCGACCCCCCGACGAGATCAACGACGACAGCGACGCGACTCTTCCAAAAGAAGTCAACCGCTGGTGGGACGACGAGGAATACAACGACCACGTGTCCATGCTCCAGCTGCCACCCGCGATCCGCAACAGACGGGCCATGGCGCGTTCCACGAGCGCCAGGATGCCACCATCGCGACTCTGGCCAATCATGAAGACGTACGTGGGAGGATGGCCAACTACCTTCGACACGTGCAGCCGATGAAGCGCTTCTGCATATTCGGCTGCCCCGCGGATGCCGGCGACCAGGCCCACTGCGTGGTCTGCCGCCGAGCCTGTCACCGCGTCGCGTCGCGGCATGCTGGCGCCCGACCTGCTGACGCGCGTGTGCCTGGGAGCACATGACTGTGGCATGTCGGGCGAGAACAACAGTTACAACTCGGTCACGCGCCTCGCTGTGTTGTGCCGGGCCTGTTGCATGAAGAACGACCGCCTGAAGTACGACTGCGCCCCAGTGCAGATCCATTCCGTTGGCGTGCTGGGCGCCGACCCCGTGCCCGTGGGCACCTACCGCATCAACGTCAGCTGCTACGAGGAGAACCTGAACCTCTTCAAGGCCGCCCATGCCGCGCTGAGGCTGGGTGGGCCCGTGCCTGCACGGCGGCGCGTCGGCGCCTAGGTGACGAACCGTCTCCGCAGAGGGGCGTGCGCTCCTCCTCCTTCTCCTCGTCCTCCTCCTTCTCCTCCGCCTCCTTTGTTTCCTTCTCCTCCTCTTCCTCCTCCTCTTCCTCCTCCTCCTCCTCCACATCCTCCTCCGCATCTTCCTTCGCATCCTCATCCGCGTCCTCCTTCTCCTCCTCGTCCTCCTCCTTTCTCCGCCCCTCCTGGCCCCTTCATTTCTCGCCGCGGGGCGGGCGGGCCCGCCCAACTGCCAGGCGACGCCTCCGCGACGGCTCGGGCAGGACCTTGGGCGGGAAGTTGCCAGGGGGGGGGGGGCTGTTCGCAAAGGTAGAGGAGGGAGGAGGGGTGAGGGCGGGGGAACGGATTGGGGGGAGGAGGAAGAGGCGGGGGAAAAAGGAAGAGGAGAAGAACGAGGAGATGGAAGAGGTCGCCTGCGTTGTTCCTGCGGTCGCCTACGTATCCAGTGGGTGGCGGGTGGGTTCGGGCTCGCGTCGCGCTGGGGGAGGGGCAGGAATAACAAGGGTAGGAGGAGGAGGAGGAAAATGAGGAGGAGGAGGAAGAGACAGGAACGGGGAGGGAGAAGGGGCCAGGTGGGGGGAGGGGATATATATATATATATATATATATATATATATATATATATATGTGCATGTTGAGGAGGTAAAAAGGGCGACGTAAAAATTAATGTAGAGAAGAGAAGAAGACAAGGATGGTGATGCTGCTTCTGATGCTAATGCTAATTTCATTGCTGATGGCGCTGGCCGAGATGAGGAGAGCAGGAGGATAGGGGGAAAAGGCTGTCGCTTTCCGTGTCGTCGTGGTCGCTTACGTGGTCAGGGAATGGCGAGGAGGCATGTCCAGGATCGCATTTCGCTGATATGATGATTGCAAGTGGGGTGAGACGGTGTTCGGGGATGGAAAATGATGGCTTTGAGTGCGGGGAGTCCTTTCGTGCCGCGGGAGTACCCCGCGTTGCGTTGTGTGTGTGTGTGTGTGCGCGGTGGTGGTAGTGTGGTGGTTGTGTGGTGTTGTGGGGGGGGGGAGGCAGCACCACGCCAAAGAGCAGTAGTGGGATGCTGAGACTACGGTCAGGAACTTTGGCTCAGCGTGTCGCTCCTCCGGTTCTGGCCCACTACGCTTCGGCTGCGACGCGCTCTCCACATCGCGTTCCACGGGCGTCAGAATCCCGAGCTTTCCCGAGCCTGCCGCCCCGACGCGCTATCCGCTCGCAGGGCATAGCGTGCCGCCGGGGCTGCCACCGCGGCATGCTGTGCGAAAGCTCCCGTCCGTGTGGCGACCTCCACGAGGATGTGCAGCGTGTCGGACGCTGCGCCTCTGGCTGAAACGAGTGGGGTTCCAGCAGTGCGATGCCGGGCAGCACAGCGGAGAGCGGCAGCGCAACACTGCTTCGAGCTTCCTCGCTAAGAGCAGCGCGACGAGCATCAGCGACGCGACGTTCAGCTGCATCACGAGCCGGATACTTTACCAATGCGACGCAGAGTTTGCCGATTGCCGCGCCTCCGAGCAACTGGAGGGCTCGTTGCAGCACGACGGTGGGTAGCGCAACGACGAGTAGCTTCCAAACCCCGCAGCAACACCGCCGGCAGTAGATGAACGACAGCTCGTATGTGAGCCGTTCATCGTGGTCTGTAATATTTCCAGGTCTTCCCTTATTTCACCTCATTGTCCGTTGCCGCTCCTCTGCTCTTGGTGGGGGATGGAGGAACCAGCATTCATGTTGGCGCGTTAAAGTTTAGCAGCGTTGACGTCGGCACCAGCATTAGCCTGCGCGTGAGTGCTGGGAGCACCACACGTGTCACCATACGTTGCTGCTGTCACGGTTCACGATCCTCATGCTTCTTTTGGGCTGGGGGGTGGGGGTGATGGGGTGACGGCAGGAGAGGGGGAGTGAGCGGGGTATGAGTATGAGGAAGGGGAGGGAGACGGAGAGGAGGAAGGAAGGAATGTGAGAAGATACCGCCGCCGCCATTGGTGGCAGTGGTGACGTTGGTCGGTGTGCGTCCCCCTACACCGAGGCCGCGACTAGCATCGTCGGCATTTGCTCAATAATGTGTCGCCACCGTTTTGCGGTTCGCCTGGCGACATTATGGATGGCACAGCGGGGGAGTTAACCTATTCATCGCGCTGATGGGGCTTGTGTGCAGCTTTCGTTGCACTGTTATTTCACGGGCCAACAAAAACGCATCGCCACCTTTCTCTGTATGTCGTCTTGTTTGGCCCATCCTGATCGTCACCACCGTAACGGTGAGCCTGATCTTGCCGGCTTCGGTAGTCGCCATCACAACGGCCACTGCAGACACCGCCATGGCCCCGACCTTCCCAAACGCTTCTGTTCCAGCCGTCTTGTTCGGCCCATCCTGATCGTCACTACTGCAACGGTGAGCCTGATCTTCCCCGCGTCGGCAGTCGCCATCATAACGGCCGCTGCAGACACCGCCATGGCCACGACCGTCGCCACCGCTCCCGTCCCGGCTCCAGCCTGATACAGCGGGCGCCCGCAGAGCCATGCCACGCCGCACGCAGGGCCGTCGGCGGCGGAGCTGGCCATGCAGTCCGTCATACGCAATTTTGAGGACCGCGTCGAGCAGCAGAAGAGGAGCGGGGAGAGAGCGCAGCTCAAGGCTCCGAGGGTGGGGCAGCCTGGGAGGCGGGGGGAGTTTGGGCCAGCGCAGCAGGAGCTTCTCGCCAGCCTGGGAGTTGCAGCGCTCGATGGGCGTACGTCCCCGGCGCGTGGCCACCACAGGATGAGCGCATGGCCCAGTGCAGATCACAATATGATCTCAAAGTTCAGCCGCCGGACGTGGGCGCCAGGGCACGGGAAAGAACAGGAGGAGCAGGATGAGGAGCAGGAGGAATCACATGGGGAATTGGAGAGATCAGGAGGGGATGATAGACACAGACATATATGATTTTTGATATCCCCCCCAAAAATAGCCAGGTTTGCCTTCCATTGTATGTTTCTAGCGATATGTGTTGTGCAATATATGTTGTGCAATCTATGTGGCGCAATCCATGGCATGCAATCTATGTAAGTTTGTACACTATAGATTGTTCAACATCTGTTGAGCAATATGTGTGGCGCAGTCTATGTGGTGCAAAATCTGTTACGCAACCTATTTTGTACACATTTTGTGGTACAACCGATGTTGTACACATTATGCGGTGCAATATATTTGTATACGCATATAGTGTCTATGCGGTACAAGTTATGTGGTACATTGTATGTTGCTCAATCTATGTGGAGGAAGCTCGGTGGTACAATACATGTGGTGCAACACACGTTGTGCAGCCTCTGTGAGGCAAACGACGGTATGCAATGTATGTTGTGTAATCGATGTTGTACAATGTATGTAATGTAGTCTGCCTGGGGCAGTATTGTTGGTACACTATGTTGCGCAATCTATGTGGAAGAATGTATGTGGTGCAGTCCACTTTGACCGTCTTGAAGCTGTCCTCTCCACTGCTCGTGCAAAAATCCCACCCTCCCACCCGCAACTTGGTCGCAGGACCTCTTAAGACAAGACCGTGACGGTAGGTACCACATGGCACTTGGCCACGACACCGACGCCGACGACGACAGCGACAACGACGACGGCGGCGCCGCCGACACCGACTACGACGACACCGACGACATCTCCAACGACTTCGACGACGACAACGACGACGACGACACCGACGGCGACGACGACGCCGACGACGACGACGATGACAACGCCGACGACGACGACGACGCCGACGACGACGACGCCGACGCCGACGACGACGAAGACAACGACGACGACGACGACGACAACGACGCCGCCAACGAAGAAGACGACGACGACGAGGGAGGAGGGAGGACGACGACGGCGACAACGACGACAACGACGAGGGAGGAGGGAGGACGGTGACGATGCGAACGACGAAGGAGGGAGGACGGCGACGCCGACGACGACAACGACGAGGGAGGAGGGAAGACGACGACGACGACGACGGCGACGAAATAGGAGGGATGACGACGAGACGCCGACGACGGACGACGACGACGAGGGAGGAGGAGGTAGGACGACCACGGCGACAACGACGACGGACACGACCACGACGCCAAAGAGGACGACGACGACGAACACGAGGAAAGACAGAGGAAACCGTAGGCGACGACGGCGACGACGACGCGGGAGGAGGGAGGACGGCGACGACGACGACGACGCAAGAGCGCGCGCGCACGCTTTTGTTGAACATCCGTGTTGCGAAACCGAATGTTCTTTTGTAGGTTTTTTTGACACGGTTTTGAAATCCCTCCGAAACCGATGGGTTTTGAAGGTTTTCGGCGTACGCGCGCGACGACGCGCGCGTCTGCACTTCGTCCCTTCTTTTGCAGAGGATTATCGCGACGGCACACGCGCAAGGGCGTTCGACAGATTTCGACATGCGCGCGCGCGAAGCCCGTCTGGTAGCATTTTGTGAACATCTTGACCAACTTCTTGGTTTTCTTAAGATTTCGCAAGAGCTCACGCGGAAACTTTTTTAGCAAATCAGTGTTGCGAAACCCTGTGTTCTTGTATACTTTTTGGGAAAGTCGATTGCGAAATCCTTCTGGCACCGAAGATTTTTGGAGGATTTCGGTAGCGCGCGCGTGTGCACTTCTTTTTTTTTGCAGGGGATTCGCGAGCAAGTCTCATGTTAGAACAGAAGATGTCCCCGCGTATCGTTTTTAGTGTTGTTTTTTTTGTTTTTTTGTTTTTTGTGTTTTTGTTCTTTTTTGATTACAAAATAAGGGAACCGCAGGGGGGGCAACCGGTTGGCCTGGGACATTGTGATTTCATTTATCGGATGGACATGTGGTCAGAATCATACATGATTTATATACCCGAAAGGGGTGGATAACGCCGGGGGGGTAGAGTCTATTCTCTTTCTAGAAAGGAGAATCTGTTTTTCTGCACAATGAGTTGTCGACTCCACTGCTCGCGCAGACATCCCGCTCGCCCGCCCGCAACTTGGTTTGCAGAACGCATGCGGCGACGAAAGCGGTGAGTGTTTGGCGTTGTCTGGTGCGTCTCAGCGGCCGCGCTAGCCCGCGCATGCTCGCGCGCGAAGCGGCCGGCTAGTTTGGCGCGAACGGCGCGGCCGCGGCGGCGCTGGGCGCTGAGTATTTCCAAGCGGGCGTTTCAGAGCGAATCGGCGACTTGGGCGTGCGAAGCGATGATGGTAGTAGCGATGCTGGTGACGATGATGACCACGACGACGGCAAGGCTAGTGACGGCGCCGATGCTGGTGACGCCGGCGATTATGACGGCGTCCTCGCGTCGGTGCTGCAGGTTTTGGAAGGGTTTCGGCATGCGCGCGCGGCCCACGCGCGCGAGTGGCCCGCATGGTTTTGTTTGACACGGATCGTCCCCCCCCCACAGCACGCGCGCAAGGGCGTCCGAAGGATTTCGACATGCGGCGCGAAAGGCCCGTTTGGACGAATTCCATGAACATGTTGTTAAATGTATGGTATTTAAAAACATGTACAGGAACGCGAACGCAGGCATTTTTCAAAACTGGTGTTGCAAACCATGCGTTTTCATTTGCTTTCCCCGATACAATTTTGATATGTCTACGACGCCTAATGTCCGTGAAGGATTTCGGCATGCGCGCGCGACGATGCGACCGTGCGCACGTTGTCTCATTTTTTGCAAGTGGTTCTTGCGACAGCACGCGCGCAAAAGGCGTTCGAACGATGCCGACACGCGCGCGCGAGGCACTTTAGGTAGCATGTGATGAACATGTTGAAAACCAAGGGTGTTCTTACGAAGTCGCAACAACGTGAGCGCAGTTTTTTTGCTTTGGTTTGACAAGTCCCGTTGCGAAGCCATGTGTCTTTCATATGTTTTTGGGACACTGGATGTTGACATTCCCACAACAACCAAGTTTCGTTTTTTTCTAAACGACGATGTGCGCGTGTGCAGTTCGTTTGAACCTACCTCCCCCCCAAAAATACAGGTGATGAGGAGGGGGCGATCCCAGCATGCCTGGGATGGTACGAGTTCATATTTCGGACGGGCGATGGAGCTGAATTTGATGTAAATTGCAATGCGTGAAGGGGGGTCGTTAAGTCGGGGGGGCGTTCTAGAAAAAGGACAGTGTGAGTGCGGCGACGGGGGCAACGGGGCGGCGACGGTGAAAACGTAGCCGCCAGACCGACAGACAGGCCCAGTTACGGGCGGCGACAAGGCAGCGACGGGGCGGCGACGGCGACAACACAGCCGCCCGACCGACAGACAGGCCTTTTTATTCTATCGCTTCGCTCATTCCGCCGGCCCTGGAGCGGTATTTTGGGCCTTTTGGGGCCGTCTTGGGGGCTTCTTGGGGGCTTCTTGGGAGCGTCTTGGGCCTCCTTGGCGGCGTATTGGCCTCCCATGGGGCCTCTTGGGGGGCTCTTGGGGGCCCCTTGCGGGAGGGGGGGTAGTCGATTGCGGCCCCCCCCTCGGAGGCCACGATCCTCGTGAGGGGTGGCGAAAAATAGCCTCCCCCCTGGGGATCGCCCGGGACCCGGCCGGGGATCAGCCGAGGACTTTTCGTCCGGGGCCCCCCAGGGGCCGCCCCGCGCGCGCGAACTAGAAATATTGCTAAGTAGTAGCACGCCTCTGGCCCGATGGGCCAGCGAATTTAGAACTATATATCAGATCCCCTAAGTGCAAGCACCGCTTGGGGAATACAAGGAAATCCAGAAACTTGAGAAATCGATGGGTCCCCCTGAGTCCCTTCAAGAGAGCGATGAGGGCGGGGCCAGCGCAGCTCGAGGCCCTTAAGAAGAATGTGGGGCTCATGGTCTTCGTGCTGCTGCTCATGGGCGCGTTCACGATCACGAACGTTGTCCTGCTGCAGAGCATGATCCAGCCCTTCGGTAGTAGCGGGGAGGAGTCGTCGCGGTTCATCGGCCCCCTGCTGCGAGAGCGGCTGCGAAAAAAAGGCACGAAGGGCAGTGCAGGACCCGGGGTGTTCCGCCGGGCCGCGAACAAGACCTGGAGCGTTGCCAAAGGGGCCGCCAAGGGGGCCGCCAAGGTCGGACGGGGCCAGGACGAGCGCAACCATGTTCAATGGCGTTCTGGAACGCGCTCAGAGCGTTCCGGAACGCTCCGAGAACGCCGAGGCGCCCGAGACACCTTCCAGAACCGCCGGATCTCCGATATCCTCGATTTGTCCTCCGCCGATGGCACCCTCGTCTTGGCTTCGTCCTGCAAGGGGGTCAAGAGGCTCGTCAGGCGGGTCGGCCACTTCCGGAAGGCGGACGCGGGGCCCGCGAAGCCCTCCCCGACCAAGCAGCTCCACGGCCCCTCGGGCGACGCCAGGGCGGCGCCCCCGGAGGGCACCGAGGCTGGCGCCGCTCGCCCCGCCAGCCCAGCCGCGGTGCTGGCGGGCGGCCCAGGCTCCCGGCCGCGGGCAACTCGCGGTCAAGACGCCGAAGGGAGGGCCGCCTTGGGGTCAGGAGGGGCTCGGGCTCCCTCCTCCTCCTGCTCCTCCTCCTCCTGCTCCTCCTCCTCCTCCTCCTCCTCCTCCCTCCCTCCCTCCCTCCCTCCCTCCCTCCCTCCCTCCCGGGCCGCTCCCGAGACGTCTGTCGTGGGACATGCTTGGTGGCCCAGGGCCGCCGTGGCCAGACAAAGACCCTTCGTTCTTCACTATAGGCGTTCCCAATTGGTCGCGTGAATGGCATTCTTGGTGGCGTGTGCGCGCACAGAGGCGGGGGGGGTCACCACCCACCAAAGCACCCCAACCCAACCCGAAGGCCCAAAGTTATCCTCGATGTCCAGTGGGGTGTGTGGGGGGTCGGGGAGCATGGCAAGAACACATGGAATCCGTAATTACCCCCCCCCCCCCACCCGAAATGCGGGTCCAGTTCGGGTCTTCGGGTTGGGTTGGGGTGGTCTGGTAGGTAGTCAGAGGGGGGGGGTCACCACCCACCAAACCACCCCAACCCAACCCGAAGGCCCAAAGTTATCCTCGATCTCCAGCGGGGTGGGGGGGGGTCGGGGAGCATTGCAAGAACACATGGAATCCGTAATCACCCCCCCCCCACCCGAAATGCGGGTCCAATTCGGGTCTTCGGGCTGGGTTGGGGTGGTCTGGTAGGTAGTCAGGGGGGGGGGGGGGGCAGGGCGAGGGGGTCCGTGGCCTCCCGGCCTCCGCAGGGGGGGCCCCGCCTCGCCTCCCGTCGGCAGAGGGGGGGGAGGAGGGGCAAGCAGTCGTCACGGGCACGCCGCCGTTGGGAGCCCGCCCGCGCGGTGCTCCCTCGTGGTCGGCCGAGGGCCTGGAGTTGTCCTCGGCAGCGCAGTGGGCAAAAATCCAAAATTGAAGATTGAAGAACATCTACTGCGAAGTTCTCTGCTTCGATTCTGGTTTCTCTTACGTGTGCAAGGAGCTCTACGAAGTTCCCGGCGGTGACCAGGTTGACGGTTCACCGCCGGTATTCGTCTTGGTGCCCTGGAAGGCGCGCACGGGCACGCGGAAAAAATCGGGAAGACAGAACTCTCGGGTTGGGAGGATGGGGCCGGGAGGCGTGAGGACATCATTACCCGTGGGCGGCCCCGAGGGTATCGTGCATCGCCTCCGGATGCTGTTGCTCGTGGCCTTCCTCCTCCCGACCCCCTCCTCCCAACACGATAATGGGCCCCCCAGCTAGGTTCTGTCCAGACCCGCACGACCCTTGACTTGCATGCAAGAGAGTTGATCGCCACCCACAGTTACAATGACGGCCGACGGGTACTCGCTTCCCCAATGAATAGAACCTGTGGATATCGTCATATGCTTTGTTTCGCCTTTATATCGCCCGCAAATAAGGTTGGACCTCTTCGTTCTGCCAGGCTGATCCCCTGCCAGAAGCTGCTGTAGGGCACCTTCTGGCAGGGAACCTGCCTGCAAGAAGGTGCCCTACGGCGGTTTCTTATCCCCCGATGGCCCCCGGGGCCCAGCAAGGCCCTAGGGGGCCTCTCAGGGCGCTCAAGGCTCGACGACGAACGTACCCCTGGATTTTTCCTTTGGCAGGATTTCTTCTCGTATGTGCCTGTGCTTCTTCTTTCTTCTCCTCCTCCTCCTCCTCCCCGTCCTCCTCCTCCTCCTCCTCCTCCTCCTCCTCCTCCTCCTCCCCTTCTTCCTCCTCCTCCTCCTTCTCCTCCTCCTCCTCCTCGTCCTCCTTGTCCTCCTCCTCCTCCTCTTTCTCCTCCTCCTCCTCCTCCTCCTCCTCCTCCTCCTCCTCCTGCATGGTGGCACAATTCGCTTTAACGACACCCCTGTCTAGGCCTCTCCGCTAGCGCAGACGACCCTTGCCTGGCCGCCGACGCAAGAAGTGGCTCTTCTTTCCTGCGCCTGGCCACAGGAATCACCAGGACGAAGGGGTGACTCGCTTTCGATTTTCGGAGCTGTTCTCGGTCCTCATCGGGGAGGCCGCGTGCTTCCAGGTGTGGGACCGCGCTCTGTGGCTTGACAGCGAGGCACTTGTGACCTGTCAGCTCTCGAGTGCAGTGTGCGTGCCTATCACTTGCCGGTGAATCTTCCACGAGGTGGCCCTCCACGCTGCCCATCAACAACAATCTTCACGTACGTGCCTGCTGTGGCTCGGCTACGCGCAGAGGGGTGCAGGTGGAGGGAGGAAGGCTTCTCAGAAGCCCCCCTGCTTCCAAGGAGGCGCGGGCCTCCTCTGTAGATGCAGGGCCAGCGCCTTCTGAGAAGCAGCCTCCTTCTCAGAAACCCTCCCCCCTCCCCCCATACCCCTTGCGCGCGCCGCGTGCCGTCGATGCCGCTCCTGCCCTCCCGCAGACTGCCCTCCCTGCCTGCCGCCTCCAGCACGAGAGGGCCGAGTGTCCCTGGCGCCCCTCGGCCCTCCAGGAGGCCCCCCGCCGCCGCCAGGGAGCACCAGGAGGAGGGGGGGAGGAGGAGGAGGAGGAGGAGGAGGAGGAGGAGGAGGAGGAGGAGGAGGAGGAGGAGGGAGGAGGAGGAGGAGGAGGAGGAGGAGGAGGAGGAGGAGGAGGAGGAGGAGGAGGAGGAGGAGGAGGAGGAGGAGGGCCTGTGAGGGGCCCGGCGGCCAGAGCTCGGAGCCGACGCCTGCCGCCCTGGGCGGGAGCGGGTCCCGAGGGACGCGGGCCCCGAGGTTTTTGTCGCCGTCCTCGGGCTCTCGGGGCCCTTCGCGGGCCCCGGGGACTGGTCGGAAGACGACTCGGGATCAAGACCTGGTCCTGGGGGAAAGCCCCGGGGTCCAGGACCTGTTCGTGGGGCGCTCCCAGAAGGGCCTTGCCTTCGAGTGTCGACGGAGTTCTCATCTCTTCCGCGGCGGAGGGCGGCGGAAGGTCGGCGGAAGTAAAACGAGGCCGCCTCCGCCGGCGGAAGCCGGCAGAAGGCCGGTGGAAGGTGGCGAAAGTAAAAGTTGCGCTCCCGAGAGGTGAAGTTGTTTCTAGGTTCAGAGTTTCTGCGGAATCCGCCGTGTATTGCTCTCCCGGGGCTGTTCGCCTCCATCGTTGGAGGAACAATCAACCACATAAACATAACCTTTTGGATTTCCGCGCGGATTTCTTGGATCCGCGCCTGACCCTCTTCCCTGGCGCGCGGAGCGCGCCAGGGGCGGTGCCGGAGGCGCCGCGCGGGGGGCCCAGCACCGATCCAAGAAATCCGCGCGGAGCGCCGACGGTTTATGTTTACAGCGTTTTTCTTCGTCGAATCGTCGCCCCCGACACCATAGCCTGGCCCGGTCAGGCCCTGCTGCCCTCGGGCTTGCCCGCGAGGCTCTCGAGCACGTCTCTGGAGAGCCGGTGGGCGCCGGGCCCGCGACGGCCAGTGTTCCTCGGGGTGTGTTCTGGGTCTCGTGGCCTTCCCGTGGCCCTCCCCGGGGTTGCGTGGTCTTGTTTCCTCGCCGCCTTCCTCGGGTTGCGTACTGCGCTCGTCGGGTCGTTCGGTCATATATTGTTGCTGCATCCCCCTTGCAGCTGGATCTTGTCCTTGCTTCATTCCCTGGGTTGCTTGGTCTTGTTTTCAAGCAGTGCCTGGCAGCGCCAAGCAACGTTTTTCCAAGCAGTACCAAGCAATACCAAGCATCACGAGCAATGCCAAACAATGAGTTTCGACGCATGTGAAGCAGCGTCGGGCAATGCCAAGGAATGCGTGGCGTTGCTTGACGTTGCGCCACGCAACGCCGAGCAATGCCAAGCAACACCACGCAATGCCAAGCAATGCCAAGCAATGCACCCATGCAACACGAAGCTTTCCCCTGATTGGGGTCGCGTCGGTATCATTTTTCCCTAATGGCGTTTCGCTTGAGGGCTCTGAAGGTGGTAATAATCGATTTCCTCATATTCCCACAGGGCGGGGAGCCCGAGACCGTCTAGTCGGGCAGCCGCCGTTGCAGCAGTCGTTTCGCCTGAGCTTTCCTTACAGTTTACTCAAGAATCTTACGCCATTCCGCCGACCCCCAGAAGAGGATATGTCATGATGCTTCCGATTCCGTGTTCGTGGTTTGCCACTTCTCGTCGTGCTGCCCGCGTGTAGTTGTTGCTGATTCGTTATCCTTCCTTCGCGTCTGTTGCGGGGCTTCTTGGGGGCCTCTTGGAGGCCCAGGTGGCACTTTCTTGGACTTTTTTATCAAAGCTATCGGACCTTTTTGGGGGCCCGCTGGGGGCTTTTCGGGGGGCCTCTCAGGGGCAGGTTGGGAGTCTTGGGGGCCATCCTTTGGGGGAGGGCTCCTGGTGCCACTGCGGGTTCCCCATTTTGTGCCTCTGCTGGGCTTCTCTCAGGGCCACGTTCAGGTGTGCGTTCGGAGAGGGAAGACTGAGGCACCAATGTCACAGCAGGGTTGAGGGGGCGGCGAGGCTCCCTCCCCCGATGCGTCTGTCCCTTGCCCACCTCGTGGGGTTGGGGGGGGGTGGGCGGGGGAGGGGACGAACGCAGCGGGGGGCGGCGCTCCTTTTTGTTCAAGGTGCGGGCAGAGGGCGGTCCCAGAGGTGCCCCCCCCCGCGCAGGAAACCCATTGACCCTCGGGGAAGCCCCGCCATCCCTGGCGCCTGCCCTTGCCAGCCTGACCTCGGGAAGGGCAGCATGCCCCACGCTTCGCTCAATGCACGCCCGTTCCTGCAGGACCCATGGCATGCCCTTGCCAGCCTGCCCTCGGGAGGGGCCCCGTGCGCAGTGCACCCTCCAAGGCGCACTCCCCACCCGCAGGACCCCTGCCATGCCCTTGCCAGCCTGGTCTCTGGAGGGGGTCCGTGCGCCGCGCCCCTTCCAAGGCGCACCCCCGCCCGCACTATCCCTGGCATGCCGTGACCAGCCTGCTGGTTGGGGGGGAACGAATCGGGAAGCAAACCTGGTTCCCGGGGAACGGGTCCGGACCTCGTGAGGTCCACGCTCCCTGGAGATGGCTTCTTGTTTCCCGACGATCGCCCAGGTTAGCTGGTGAGGGTGAAGGGGGGGAGGTGGCAGCCGATGACCGAACCTTTTCGCTTGGGGCAGCCCCGCGTATGCCCGTGCGCACCAGTACTGCCGTACCCCCTTCGGGCCCGCGCAGCCGGCAAGGTCAGGGGTCAGGTTCTCCAGGTGGGTGGGCGGGGGCGAGCGGGCCCAATAACCCTGGTTATCGCCGGACCCTAGAAAACTGTCTCCTGAGATCTGACGTTGCGACAACTCTCAGGCAGATCACGGCAGATTGAGAGAGACCTCGACCAGACCACGACCACATCGCGACGAATCACGACCAGATCCCTAGACAAGTGTTTTCTGCTGCATGTGTCAGGCCAGATCGATATGTGATGGTCTTAGGGCCCGGAACCAGGAGAAAACCTACGGTGTGGAAAAACATGCAACTTCCAGATCTCAGGGTTCTGACGACCATACAACGAAAGCCACGACATCCTTGGTCGCGCGCAACGGCTCGCCTATGGCAGGTTGGCCCGAACGCTGCTCCAGGTGATCTGGGTTGCTCCTCCGCCTATCTCCCCGCCTTCCTCTTGCTTCTTCCTCTTCCTCCTCGCCCTCCTCCCCTCTCCTCTTTTCGCCGGTGCTTTTTTTACTTCTGGGTTGTTACTGTGAACGAAGCCCATGGTCAGACTCTGCCGCCCATCGCCACTGAGTGTACGGGTTACTCGAGGGGTGAAGCGTTCGATTCCAATGTCCGATCTCCTCCCTGCCCTCTTCTTTCGTCATACTTCCTCCTGTCGCAAGTGCATTGTCGATTTGCTGTTCAGGCCACGTTCATTGCATGAGTTTGCCTATTGCAGGTGGGCTTGTACGTTGTTGTTCCCAGTTTGCCTGGCGACCTCTTTTTGAGTCGCGATGTGGCTGTGGCCCCCGTGGTGTCTCGCGTGACACGACGTCGAGGGCCAGGCCTGCCTCTCCCGTTTGCCTCGCACTCCCGAGGCTCGGGCGCGGCCGAGCCAACCGGGGGCGGCGCCGTGGCGGACCCCGGGGCGGACGCGGCCGAGGCAGCCCAGGCCGCGGGCATTCGGAAAGTCGCCAGCCGAGGCGAGAGCCACGAGGCGGGGGGTTGGTGGCCTGGACACGGAGGTGCTCACCAGGAAGCCATGGCCTCGCAGTTTTGTCGCATCGGGGGATTTTGCTTCGTTTCGGGCCCCGGGATCCTCACGGATCGATCCGGCTCCAAACATGCAGCAGGATGATGGGGTCCAGGGCTCCGGTCGAGGTTTCGTATGAAGTTGCATGTTTCGTGACGTCGGATCTCAGGGTAGGTGTTGTAGGTTCGCGCCGCGCCCGCGTGGCGGCGACCCTAGTGCGGCGTTCACGGTTGGACGCTATTGCCGTTTCCTGAGGACGTGGGTGGGCGTGACGTCGTGATCTTTGCGCGCAGCGTGGACCTCAAAGGTCCAGACCCTTCCCTGGGGCTGGCGCTTTGCATCCCGAGCCGTTTTTTGATGGCCCTGGAGTCCAATGAGGGCCCCCGGAGGCTGAACACTGCAAAAGGACCTCCCGCCGTACAGTCGGCCCTGATTGTTAGATCGACCATGCCAAATCGAAGGTGCCCTTGTGTCCTGTCTATCCCGACCTATGCAACCCTCATGTCCTGTGGTGTTCTGTGGCCACGTCGCCGTCGGAAGAGTCTTGTGTCCTCTCGGGTGCCCTGTCCAATCAAGTCCGACTGTATCTTTTTCTTCGACGTGAGGAATTGGGGTTCCCCTTCCCCGCCGAGCCTGGCAAGCCCCCCCCATCCGTCGCTCCACGTGTCGACGCGCACCTCGCCCCCTCGGCGCGGCCGCGCCGCCCGACGGGGCTCCGAGCCCCGCAGGCCGACGGCCCTGGCTTGGGCGCGGCCGAGCCTAGTGAGGACGCGGCCGCTGCAGCGGACCCAGGCGCTGCCGCAGACGGCGCCGCGGAGGACACCGCGGCGGGCGTGGAGGGCGCCGCGGGCGCCGCGGAGGGCGGCGCAGAAGCCGCCGCGGAGGGCGCCGCGGACGCCGCTGGCGCTGCAGCGGAGAGTGCCGCAGAGGGCGCCGCGGAGGCCGCGGAGGGCGCCGCGCAGGGCGCCGGAGGCTCCGCAGAGGAGGGCGCCGTGGAGGGCGCCGCGGAGGGCGCCGCGGAGGGCGCCGTGGAGGGCGCCACGGAGGGCGCCACGGAGCGGGGCGCAGGCGCCGCCACCGAGGGTGCCGCAGAGGGTGCCGCGGAGGGCGCGGCGGGGGCGGCGGAGGGGGTGCCCAGAAGCGGTGCCCTGCGCGGCTCGGGGGGCGCGGCCCAGGCCGAGGGCGAGGGCGCGCCGAGATAAACAGGGAGTCTGCTGTCGTCGTCGGCGGCGTCGTCGTTGTCGTCGTCGTCCTCGTCGTCGTCGTCGTCGTCGTCGTCGTCGTCGTCGTCGTCGTCGTCGTCGCCGCCGCCGCCGCCGCCGCCGCCGTCGCCGCTGCCAGGGGAGGGGGAGTCCGAGCTGAGGGGAGTCCATCCATCCGGCTCCTCGATGAGCAGTGGACGGCGTGAGCAGAATCTTTCGGAGGTCCGCGCGGATTTCTTCAGTCGGCGCTGGTCCCCCCTTCGGTGCGTCTGGCGCCGCTCCTGGTGCGCTTCTCGCGCGCCAGTTTGGGGGGATTCAGCGACGACCCAAGAAAATGTGTACTTACTTATGCGACCGCCCTTCAGGTGAGAAGGAGGTTTGGGGGGAGGATGGGTGCAGCTTTCGGTTCGCGATGGGCGACGGGTCGGCTTCGCGATCGATCCATAAGTACATAGGTCTCCATCTACCCATCTGTCAGTCCAAGCTATCTGTCAATCGACCTCGTCACCAACACACACACAGTCACACTCTCACTCTCTCGCGCACACTCATGGGGTCCAGGGACGGGGGCCCTGAGGGCAAACACCAGGCCCCCAGGGGTGTTGTAGGGATCCTGGGCCGCTCCGAGACCGCAACAAAAGGCTCTGACACGGCCTCAGGGAGCACGAAGAACCCCCAGGCAGTTCAGGAGGCCCCCGAGACGGCCCAAGACTGCTCCAAGACGGCTCGCGATGCTTACAAGACGGCCAACTGGGCTTTCAAGAGTATCCAAGAAGTCTTCCAAAGGCCCCCGAGGAGGCGCCCGAGGAGCTAAACTCCTTCCCAAACCGATGGGACATCAATACTTTATCCTTTCTGGCTTTTGTGCCTGAGATGTGCTTCTGAGGCCTGAAGGTGGGCCCCGAGAGTCCCTCAAAAGGCTCTCAAGACGTCTTCAGGAGAACCCAAGAAGCCACAAGATGCCCCCTTGGAGGCCCTCATGCGCTCCCAATACGCCCCCCAGAGGCCACCAAGAGGCTCTCAAGAGCCGCAAGAGGCCCTCACGAGGCCCCACTAGCCCCAAGAGGCCCCCGATAGGCTCGAATAGGCGTCCAAGACGACCCTCAGAAACTCCCAAGAGGCCCGAAGATGCCCCCAAGACGCCCCCAAGAGGCTCCCAAAAGACCCCCAAGGCCGCTTGTGCAGGTGAAAATGCGGGAGGCGTCCTTTGGCCTTGCCGCATGCTCCCTGGCCTTTGGCCGGGGCTCGCGTGGTCAGCCTGCTCGGAGGCCGCCGCGGCAGTCTTACACTGCCTGCCGGCGCCTTAGCTGAGCCTCAGTCACCCGCCCACCCACCCCTGAGGAAGGAGGGGCGTCGACTGGGCCGCCGCCTGCGCCGCCGCCGCCGGGGCCAGGGGCAGGGACAAAAGGGAGGGGGGGGGGAAGGTCCGCCCGCCGCCGCTGCCGTCGCGGCGTGGGCCGCGGTCTCCTGACCTGCTCCCGCAACTCGGCGTCGCCTGGGACACACCGAGCGCGTCTGGCTGCGTCCACCACGGGATCCCAAACGTCCCTCGGGGGAGGCATGCGCGGTCGGATGCCTGGGGCTGGCTGGGCTCTCACGCCCAGGTGCTCAGCGGCGCCGTGCCCCGCCCACAGCTGCCGCCTGCTCTCGTTTTCCGTCAACCCGACGGCGGTGTCGAACTGCTGGGTGACCTCCAGCTGGGACTGCAGGTCCTCCAACGTGCTCGTCTTCAGTGACCGGTCGTCCACGTAGCTCCAGGGGCCCGCCCCGCGGGCCCCCACCAGCTGGTGCCACGGGGCCAACACTAAGGAGAGCACTCGACAGCAGCCTGGGCCCCCCGCGGGTATCCCCCTAGTGGGGAAGAGCGGGTCAGCCATCGCCCCGGCCACGGCGCAAAAACGAGGCGCAGGCCAGCCAGCGACGAGTGAATCAACCACGGGAGCGGGCACCCCCGCGCGCTCCGAGGCTCTCCTGGCCACCTCGTGAGGGACCCTATATAGAAGGCTTTCATTACATCAGCCTGCGCCCCATATTGCCCCTCCGCCGACAACCGAGAGGCCACCGACGCGACCACGCCCGCCTCGCCGTGGGCTTCGGCCGGCCCAGGCGGGAGGCACCGCAGCAGCGTAGCGTGCCAGGCTCTGTACCAGACGCTGGCCACGCAGACTGGGGGGCTGTCCGAGGACCCCCGCTTGGGGATACCCGCCACCCGGAAGGCGAACACGCTTTCAGGGACAACGTGCCCGCACGCCGGGCGGCGCGCGTCCCCCGGCAGATCGCCCCGAGCAGGGCCGAGGTCGCCGCGCTCCCAGGCTGGTCGCCGCCCGCGCCGAAGGCCGGCGCCGTCGGCCAGGCCTCCTGACTGTCCGCTAGACTGGTCGGCAGCATGGGGCCTGGCCGTCCGGGCGTTCCCGGAGCGCGCCTCGGCGCTACAGCCTCGGCGGCAGCGACAAGCAAGGCGTGCAGCTCGTCAACCAACCACGGAGCGTGCTTCACGAGCGCCCTCGCCTCGCTGGCCTCCCAACCGTCCAGGCCGGCCGAACCCGCAGCGTTCACCACCTGCTGCCGGAACGCCGCCCGCGGAGGGCGGTATCCACCTGCGGGGAGGCACCGCGGGCACGCCAGCGGCCAGCGGCGTCCGCAAGCTCGGTCCACGCTTGCGCAGAGGCGAGGGGGTCTACACTTTCCCCCTCCTCCTTCCCCTGACCGGGACCAGGGTCACCCTGAGGGGCAGGTATGGCGCCTGGGCACCAGTGCCGCGACCATTCAGTGCGCATGCCCGTCGCCGAAAGCGTCACGGGAGCTGGGGGGGGCCTAACCATCTGGGCCGCTGCTTTGGCAGCGTCAGGGCCCTATCGTTTGAAACGACCCTTCCAAGCTTGAACGGCCGCCTTTTTCATTGCCCCTTCCTCGGCCGTGATAGCGGCGCGGAGGACGTTCGCAGCGCCCCCGAGGCACGAAGGGATCGCAGGAGGGAGGCCGCTCCGGAACGCCGGCCCCCATCTCTTGAGAAGGGCTCCTGCGGTCGGGGCTTGGCTGGGGGGGCGCTCCCTCGCCGGCGGCTTCCGCCGACTTCCACGGCACCTCCCAAAACCCGCTGCAAGCGGCACAGCCTGCGGCCCCACGTCGTCTCAGGCCCCCTCCTCGCCGCCGACGGCGCGACAGGCCGCTGCTCAGGCAACGAGCCCTTGCCACGCTCCCGACCGCGAGCTGCCCCAGCGAGCTCCAAACGACAAGCGTCTCGCATCAAAGCCTCGGCGCGCACATGCCATCGTGCAATCGCCTCCCCGGGGGGCAGGAGCAGGTCATCCTGCGTAGCTTCCGCCACGAGCCGTAATTGTCGGGCCTGGTCAGGGGCCGGGGGGGGCCCCAATCGTACAGAGCGGTGCGGGCTTAAGGCGCGTCTGAGGAGCCAGGGGGGCGACTCTTCCCGAAACGTGCACATCCTAGGCCACGGCAACGTGGTGTGGGGGACTCCTCTCACGGGGACGGTGTAGACCGGCTCGACCGACGCCCCCCTGGCAAGGCACCTCGTCGGAGCAATTTTCCCTTCAATGGTGGTGGGGATGACCCGCGCCGCCGCCCAGTCCCGAGGCATCGCTCTATCGTAAACAGGGCGCCAATTCAGATCCCCCACGATCACAGCGGGAATGTCCGAGACGTGCCCAGCCGCGGCGACGAGAGACGCAAACCAATCGTCATCCGCCGGGTGGGGGCCCCACGCAACCTAAACCCGCATCACGTCAAAATTCGTCCCCACAGAACGCCAAGAATTCGAATCGCAATTCTTGTCGCCGGGGGCCCCCTTGCCAAGCACTGGGCGCCAAAGCAGGAAGCAGCCCCCTTCCCTCCTTCCAGTCGCCGTCATAGGGGGAGCAGCGGACCACTGGCCCCGCCACCCCTCCCGACTGGTGAGTTCCGTGGCCCACCGAAAGCACCCCGGGGGGGGGCCGGGTCTCTTGCAAGCAGAGAAGGTGCGCCCCTGCTTCCCCGGCCACGGCCAAGACTGCCTCTAGCCAGTCTCGCGTGAGCAGCGTGACGTTCAGGGTGAGGATCGAGGGGGGGTCCGCGCCTCTCGGGCCAGCAGCCCGCCCTCGTTGCTTGTGAGTCGTTTCGCTTCCCACCCCGCTCCTGGCTATGGGGCGTACCCGGGCCCCGCCCCCCGCAGAGGGCGGAGAGAAGGAATAGGGAAGGGCGGAGGAGGAGGAGGAGGAGGAGGGGGAGGAGGAAGGGGGATCCGGGCACGCCCCCCCAGCGAGGGGGGGATGGGACGCGCAACGACCCACGGCCGTTTCTCAAGAGGCAGCTGGCGCTGCTGCCGCTTTCGGCCTCCTGCGCCGGGCCCCAAGAGCCTTCTGGTGCTCAAACTCTGGAGGGTTGTTGGCCTGAGCGGCCCGTCGCCACGTTGACCGTGACGGCCGCGTGCCGGGATCTGCAAGGGTTTCTTCGGAATGTGGCCAACGGCGCGCTCCTGTCACATTTCTGGCATTTGTAACAGTTCGCTTCGCTCGCCACCCCGTGGATGACCCCCGTGTCTGGGCTGCAAGCTGAGCTGGCCAGTTCCTCCGAAAGCCGGCCCCTCCGCGCCCCAAAAGGAATCGGCATGGGTGCCGCGCCTCCGCTCCCCCGTTTGCTGGTGAACGTGCGCTTGGTGCCGAGGCCTGTCTTCGGGCGTCCAAGCCCTGCCCAGGGTCGGGGCTGGCACGCCTTGGCACTCTTTCCCATGCCGGCCCGCCGCTCGCCGTTGACCGTGCGCGAAGCCCCTCCCAACCCCTTTAGGCGGTCGCCATCCACACGCCGAACACCAGTGCAGGGCCCCCAGATCAGTCGGGTCGAACATCGGCTGAGAGGGGGGCTGCAGCAGGCGGAGGAGATGGGTCCTTCGGGCCGGCGCGACTCCGCAGAGAGCGGCACGGTCCCCCATCGTAACCTGGCGCCCTGACGCAAGACGGGGAGGCAGGCCTGCCCCGCCC